GTTGTCGTTGAAGTACAAGAGACTCATGTACTGACCATTGAAATGCGTAGGCAAGTTCCCTGAAAACTTGTTTCCAGAAAGATCCAATATTTTCATGATAGGTATGTTGAAAAGCGTGCTTGGCAAGGTACCTTCCAAGAGATTATTTGAAACGGAGAAAAAGAGGAAAAAGAGTGCTTGGCAAGGTACCTTCCACGTTCCCGTATATATTCTCGGGAAGCCGTTGATCAAAATTGTTGGTTGATACATCCAAGAACTCCAAACTGTGGTTTAGTAGTAGTCTTGGCAACTGAAGCATGGTGAAAGAGTTGTTCTGCAAAAGCAAAACCCGGAGTTTGGGATATTCCTCTAGAAACCATGAGGGGAATGATCCAGTCAGCTTGTTTTTGGAGAGGTTGATTACACGCAAATCCTTGTGGTATTGAAGAAAGCTTGGAAATGTTTCCAAGTTGCAATTCTGTAGTTCTAAGACACTCAGCTGAAACTTGGGCTGCAAGGAGGTTTCAGCTTTCACATGCAGCAAACTAGTTATTGATGAAAGTTTGAACACCTTGAGCTTCGAGAGGTTGGCGATTAAATCGAAAGAGAAGGAACCCTCAAACTCGTTATCTGATAGAGATAAGTACTCTAGAGAATCAAGATTGCCGATAAGAGATGGAAGCGTCCCACTGAATAGGTTTGAAGAGATATCAAGAACTTGGAGTTGGGTTAGGCTATCAAAACACTGAGGAAATGGACCAGTGAATTTGTTTTTACTCAGATCAAGCTCCAACAAATTTTGCAGTTGACAAATTCCTGTAACAATCACATGAAAGCACCTGAGAAGATTAGAAAGTTTATTTCTTTATAACTTATACTCCATCCATTTCATAATATAATCAGTTTTGCTAAAACAAACAAAATAAGAGAACTACTTTTATTGAATAAAGTATCTCATACTCCCTCTGTTCCACAATGTAAGATTTTTTAGAGTTTTTACACAGTTTAAGAAACATTTATTGCTTAACAATTAATACAAAGTTTTCTTACACAAATCACTTTTTTATAAATTTTAACCAATAGAAGTTCAAGAATTCAACTAATTGTAATAAATAGTTCTTGAAATTTGTAGTTTGCTAACATTAATTAACTAAAAGTACCTTAAACATTCTAAAACATCATATATTATGGAACAAGCAAAAAATCTAAAACATTATACATTGTGAAACAGATGGAATATAATATATCAGCAAAATATAGTTTAACCAATCCTGAACAAAAAGCTGCATGATATAATCCATCACACAATATCCTATAAAGTAAAAGTTACATTAAATTGTGAAAACGGCTTATATTTGGACACAAAAAAATTCATAAATTGTTTATATTATGGAACTGAGAGAGTAGTTATTACATGTTATCATGCAATGATAAAAGAAATCAAAATGGACAATTAGTATCTAAAAACTAAAATACCACAGTTTAAATGTTTGTCCCACAGTGCATCACTGGTTTTTGCTTCTAATAATACTATAAATTTAATATCGTGATGACGACTCAAATCTCCTAGCTAATATGGGAATTCTAAAACTTATAAATGGAAATTAAATTTTAACTTAATTTGTATGCACTAACTTTGGAATAAAAACTTACTCATATTTTAAGTTATTCCTCTAATTTTAAATCAACTAACTTGAATACAAAAATATAAATAACTTTTTTTGGTAAAAAAGATATCAATAGGAAAATTTTTTGAGGAATACACTGAGGAGGTGTATTATTGAAATTGTCCCTAAAATAGTACCAAAAATATATAAATAGATTGATTGATGCTAACATACCTTTCTTTTCCAGTGATCCAGAAAATTTGTTATTGCTCAAGTCCAAGCCTTCAAGTTTATGAAAATTCGCCATGTCTGTAGTAAAGGCAAAGATTCATGAAAAGAGAACTACAGAAGTTTTCAAGATCCATTTTTTCTTTTTTTTCCGATATATCAAGAAAAACTTTGGTGTCATTACCTGGCAATGGGCCAATGAACTCGTTCCTGCTTAGATCCAGTAATTTAAGGTTTCTCAAGTTTTTCAGCTCTGCAAAATATGTGGCCATAAACAAGATAAAAGAAGGATTGGAAATCTGTCAAAAAAATTATCGGTATGTAACTAACTTATCATAATTAAAAAATACCGATCTATATAACCTACACTAATCAAACTGATTTATGCTTATTAAAAATCCATAATAAAACGACGTACCTTTTATTGGAAATATACCATCCATAGAGTTTCCACGAAGAACCAAAGTTTTGAGCGATGAAGCGGCATTCAAAAAGGGTAAGACACTACTTTTATTGACGTAGTTTTCACTATAATCAAGGACTTCAAGATTTTTCAATTTCCCCAGGCTTTTATAACCTGCAAATCAAAAAGGGAAATTACCGTGGATATCATCGAACCAGCTGCTATATCCATATGAACTTAAATTTAGAGTATGTAATTCTTCAAATGGATAGAACAAGGGAAGATTTAGTAGGCGAGGAGGATTGAATGTAAAATTCAAAAACAGACCGATCACATGCCCGCTTGTAAGATTACACTTTACTCTTTCCCATCTGCAACAGTCGCTGTCTTTGTTATTAGGCCAATCATAGACAAAATCGGAGTTGGAGATGTTGACATACGCCTTGAGCTCCAGCAAGCCCTTCCTCTCGGCCTCGATGCAACTTCTCACTTGGGGTGATACTATCATCAGCGTCATCGTCACCATCATCATCATCATCACCATCACCCTTAAACATGATTGAGAGAACATCAACATTGAGAATTTCTGGTCTGACGTTACAACTTGATAAAGTTGTTAAAGGATATCGATGATGCAGATATTTTAGCAGAAGACTTTGACTTTTGGTGAAAGACTTTGAATTATTTAATGGGCTTTACGGCCGAAAAGAAGATTTAGGAGAGAAGGAGTTTATGTACTATTTTTTTTTTTCCATCTAAAATTATATTGAATTGAGGGAGAATACAAGATGTTAGACACCAACCAAACTTACAAAACCATGACAAACATAAGCCCACTCAGGCAGCAAATAAACAAAGAACTATAGAACTAAAGAAGAGAAAGAAAGGGATCTAAGAGGATAAACCGAAACGAAGAACCGCACCAACTCCAACTAAAACGATATCAAGACCTGCTTCAAACTTCTTGAGAACCTTCATAGAAAATTCACCCTCACCGTAAATGCCCTCAGTGGCCAGAGAACGGTCACAGACTACGGTAGCAGAGGTTTGAAGCTTCCCTTCCCTGAAAAAACACAAACTACCTAACAACTCAAATAGCCAGTCTTCCATCACGCCAAATAGTCCTAACCGGCAGAAGTACCCTTCGCGGAATGAGTTTTCGATCAGAAGTGAGATAGCGACAGGGAGCAAACGGAACCAAACCGGATAACACCAAGTTCAGAAGGTGAAAGATCGAACCGGAGAAGAACCAGAACCCAAGCAAACTCCACAGAAGCAAGACGAAGCATGGAAGCAGCGGCCGAGAGGGAAGGAGGTGAAAAACCAGATCTGGCACTGGAAATAAGGACCATAGAGGAGAAAACGTGGGAATTGACCAAATATCTAACAGATCCGGACCCACCAACCTCAAGAACACCTAGATCTGTTTCAGATCTGGAGGAGAAACCCCTAAACACCTAAATCTTCTTCAACCAAAGAGAACCTTAGAGGAAAACAGAAAAGAAAGGCAAGACAAAGCAAGAGAAACAAAGCACACCGGACTCCGGCGCTATAGAAGCCACCGGAGCCGGCCAAACACGACGGCGGACTTCTCTAGACAGAAGGCATAGCGACTTTCTTTTAGAGAGAGAAAAAAAGTTTTTTTTTATGTACTCCATCCATTTCTTTTTTTATTTCATTTTAATTGTCACTTTGCATTTTCAATATATATTTATAATATATTTTCCAGTTTTATTCTTGTTTCTTTGGCTTATTAAGTAGTAATATTAAACAAAACAATATATTAAATAAGAGTAAAATAATAAATGTAGTTAGTTTCTTAAGCTGTATAAAAAACTTCCACAAGTAAAAAGAAACAAAGAGAATATATATAGTTCAATAAGAGGATGGTCACAATATCACATTTGACTCTTTCACATCAGCAAGTGTGATATTGTGACCATCCGTGTTATTAGGCCGATCAAAATGTACACTCCTAGTTGATGAAGAACTCGAGACATTGGTGCATTAATGGAGTCTAAAGTACTTGGGTGAGGAAGTAGAAGAAATCTGTGCTCTAGTTTAAAAAGTATCTTTAGAAAGTATGAGCGTGACTCTGTTAATTTTTTAAACTTAGAGGTTTGCGCAGTTTCATCTATGTAAATAACTAGTAGAGTACCCGTTTGAACCTTGGCCTTATCACCTTGTCTACGTTCCTAGTTTGGTTCACATTCCTTTACCTCAAATTAAGCAATGTGAAGCTTAGTTTTTTATAAAATTGTTCGGGGTTTTTTGCAAACTAAAAAATTGATCTAGATTTCATTAATTGTTTCTTGGATCATATATAGATTATAAATATTTTAGATGTTTCTGAATGGTTTGTTCAGCGTGGCTTGGTGGATGTTCACAGTTTGATATCACAAAATGAAGAAAACTAAGTATGAATCAAAGTAGACATTTATATTGTTTCTCATATAAAAATTTCTCTAAATTGGGATGTGTATCATGTGATCCTCGAAGGCAATAATGAAGTCTGAACTTAGAGGGGACAAAATTGAAAAGAAAGGTTGCTAGTCTCTCGCTATACAATTAAACAGTACCAACACTATAGGTCATATATATATATATATATATATATATATATATATATATATATTTTTTTTTTTTTTTTAAATAATACTTTACTTTTTTTCATTTTAACGTCAAATTAAGAATCCTGTCCCACACTAGTCGCATAGAAGAGAACAACAAAAAAAAAGGAGTTAACGAACATTAGGTTGAAACCCTAATTAGGAAAATAGAGAATGGATTCAACCAAAAAGAAGAAGAATATAGCAGCGCATGATGAGAAGCTTCCATGGGAGTTGATGGAAGAGATACTCTATCGTGTCCCACCTAAAACCCTCGTTCACTTCAGAACCGTTTCGAAACAGCTCTCTTCGAAGACAAGCTGTTCATCAACAACCACAAGTCAACGTTCCGATTCATCCTGAGTACCAACTCCAAAATTTATTCGGTAAGCATCGATCCCAAGATAGTGGTGCGTGAGTTAACCTTGGATATTCCCGGTTTAGAATCCAAAATACCTAACTACTTGGTTGATTGCGATGAGTTCTTGTTGCTATGTGACATGGATATAGGAACCGCAGTTTGGAACCCGTGGTTGAATCAGACTAAATTGATCAAGCCCGAACTTGGTTTCCAAATCGATGGCATAGGCTATGTTAATAATAAGAATAGTAATACAACAAGAATTGAGGAAAAAGTTTACAAGGCCCTTGCGTCTTATTCGAAGGGATCATACCCTAACGTCGAAACATGCTGGAAAATCTATGACTTTGCCCCCGATGCTCGGGAAAACAAAGGGCATTGTGTTGATGATACTACTGAGGGAGAAAAAGAACCTACATCACACAACTTGGGTGGTGTACCGTTGAATGGAACTTTGTATTGGGTTGCTTTTTATGACGAGACTGATTCCTTGTACCACCTTACGAAATTCGATTTTTCTAGTGAAAAATTTCTCAAGTTTTGTGATCTACCGTGTGGTATAAACCATCGTCGCCGCGATGCTCTTGTCCTTAGGGTCTTTAAGGGAGATCGGTTTTCCTTGTTAAAGCAATGCCATGTAACAAAGAAGGTTGAGATTTGGGTGACCAAGAACAAGATTAACGTTGAAGATGGTGATGGTGTGGTTTGGATGAATTTCATGACTTTCTCAATTCCTAACTTTCCAGGATTAGTACAGTACTACTCTAAGCCAAGTTACTTCATCGACGACAAAAAGCTTGTTGTGTGCTCTTGCGATGAAACCGGGCAGGCTTGGATATATGTTGTGGAGGGAAATAAGTTGATCAACAAAGTCCAAGTAGACTCTGCGGTTGATCGTTGGCCTTCGCATTGCACCTATTTTCCCAGTTTGGTCCCGGTTCCTCGAGGCCAGAGAGAAGTTTAGTTGTATTACGTTTGTCTTCTTGTTTAGATGTTGAGTAAGCAAGCCAAAAATGATTTCGGTGTTGGTGTTTTTTTTTTCATAAACCATCTTCTTTGTTTCAAGTTTCAACTAGAGATGTTGCTCATTTTCCTTTTTTTTGCCTTCCTTGGAGAAATAAATTATTTTAACTTTGGTTACACAAAAACCATTATCGCGATGGGAACAAATTTTAAAATAATAATGAAATGTGCCGTAGTTGCATGTTTTATTACCATATTAATATCTCATTTTATTTTTTCTTACTAATATTTAAATTTTGATTTTTTTTTAAAAAAATTCCTTTTATTCAAAAATATATGTCATTTTTATCGATAACTTTTTGCATTTTATTTAAAACATATGATTTACTATTTATTTAACGATTTATAACGAGGTGGTAGGCCTTGCGTCTACATTTTGAAGGGAGATAGATTCAAGAAGATTCAAATGGATTTTGAGGTTGATCCTTGGTCTTATCACCTTGTGTATGTTCCTAGTTTGATTCACATTCCTTTACCTCAAATACAGCAATGTGAAGCTTAGTTTATATTACATTGTTTGGGTTTTTTTGCAAACTAAAAAATTGATCTAGACTTCTTTAATTGTTTCATGGATCATATATAGATTATAAATGTTTTAGATGTTTCCAAATGGTTTGTTCAGCGTGGCTTGGTGGATGTTCATAGTATGATATACTGCATCTATCATAAAACATGAATGCTTCAGTTTCAAGAAATTAGTAATAATGTCTGAATTTACCGAATATAATTGAATCGATAATGATGTCTAAGAAATGATAGAAATTAGTATGGTGCGCTGCTGCACCGTTCGCTAAAGTAACAAAGTTTTTGATTTTCAGTGTTTTCTACATATCAATATTAATTATGTATAATTAAAACATTTAATGCGAAGAAAATATAAGTATGATCGATGATCTTTACACAAAATAAAAATTAAATTTATCAAATAAAACATAATATTAGATCAATAAATACAAAACAACTTAATTGGGGAAAAAACAACCGCAGCTTAACGCAGATACTTCTAGTAAAATTACAAAATTGTCGACAAAAAAAAATTACAAAATTAGTACCAAATCCCACATGTCTAGTTTACACAAAAGATTATGATTAAATAATCTAGCGAGACTTACCAATTATATGTCATGATATAATGCAATACACGGTACATAATCTATGATTCCATACCGACTCTCTTTACATTTAAGCTAATGTGACGATAAGCTTCTAAGTCTTGTTATCTTATTCAGAAAATTCTCACGCAATGGAATAATACTGGGAACATAAATTGAGTGATTATAACAATCAACCGCAGAATCTAATTTAATCTTCCTTGGAATACCTTCCTTCACGATATAAAGCCAAAGGTGGCTACTTTCGAAGTCGTAATAACACATGACAAAGCTCTTTCCATAGATATTATCCACGAAGTAACTTGGGCAAGATCCACGTCCGTGAGACTCTAGATATAACTTAGGGATGTCAGGTGCTGAGACAGTCATGAATTTAATCCATTCCACATCCTCCTCATCCCCATTTTTTATCTTCTTTTTTGTCACCCAAATCTCAATCTCTCTTGTTTTATAGCATTGTTCTAACATTGAAAACCGATTTCCTCTAAAAATGGAGAGGTAATGAGTATCTCCCTCATCGTTCTTCTTACATGGTAGAATACAAAAATTCTTCAATAACTCTTTTGAAAAATCAAATTTACGAATGAAATACTCGCCAGTGTCGATGTTATAAGCCGTCCAATAAGAATTTCCATTGAGTGACATATGTATATCTAATGGTTCTTTTATGGACAATTCTTCGTAAGGGGCATTGATATACTTCCACGTGTCAGATGCAAACTCATATATTGCAAGTTTACGATCTCGCGAGTCTACTACATTTAAATAATAATGATAACCAAGTATCTTGTAACTTATTTCAGGCTTACTATTGTCGTAACCAATCCCACATAACTTGTATGGATGTTGATATTCGGTCAGAATCTGTCTACCTTGTCTCAGCAACGGGTTCCAAACAACAGTCCCGTGCATAAAAAATTTAGAAAACAACAGCCCATCGCAATAAGTGGTGGTCTTAGGCAACCTAATATTCACACCGGGAATATCTACATATATTTTACGCACCTTTATCGTTATATCATCGTCGAGATCGACATCTATTGCAAAAATCTTAGTTTGGTGAAAGAACAGAATTTTCGGACAAGAATGATCCAACTGGGCCTTGAGGAAACTTTTCTCACGGAAAAGAGAGTTCCATTGTTTGCAAACAGTTCAAAATCGACCAAGAGAATTTGGTGGAACCCGAGATAGGATCTCTTCCACCAGCTCCAACGGAAGTCTCACCAATGCCATTATAGGATCTTCTTATGCATGAGGTTTATAATAAAGAAGAAATAAAAAGTTACATCATAATACGAGTATATATAGTGGGATTTATAAATTTGAAACTTACCGAACAAGTTTTGACAAAAAAAAATTATGTAGCAAGTTTATCATTCATGGAATCCCAAAAGGGAATAGAATATTTTTTTTTCTGGAGTACTATGTTTTTTAAGAGAAAAAAAAAAGTACTATGGGGATGATTGGTGGGAGCTGTGGTTGCTCTCCACAGCTCTATATCTCTCTACAGCACTCCAAAATTACCAATCATGCTCTCCTTTTATCTCTTTCCATTTTTGAAACATAGAGCAATTTTATTTATTTATGGAAGTTCCGTAGCTGTGGAAAGCAATTTTTCTATAGCACTAAATTTAGTGCTCTCTAAATTCTCTCTCTTCTCTTTCCTTATTATTTTGTCTATATTCTTTTTTTAATCTCTTATTTCTATATCTTCTTTTTTTGTTTTAATATTTCATTTAATACACAATCTACAAAAAAAAAATCTTAGAGCACTAAAAACTAAAGCCACAGCACTAAAACCTACAGCCTAAACTCTACAGCCAAAAATCTAAAGTCACAGCCACAACCAATCAGGCCCTATGTTTCTTTACTCCAAAAAAAAGATAAATTAATGTATAAACATTAAAAATTCAAAGATTACATAAGAAAATAAGAAACTTACCTAAAATTAATTCTATATAATTATTTAAGATGGGATGTGAATTCCTAGATTTATATCCAAAAATATGTAGACAAACTAATAATAGATTTCCGGGTTTCCTTGCAAAGTTGCAAGCATCTCCGATTCCCAATTTCATCCGGTAAAATTAAAATTATGTTATTTATTAGTCATAAAACTTGATATAAAATTATAAAAGAATTTCTCAAACAATAACTAAAACTGAAAAATGACAATTGTACACCATTTGTATTGTTTCCAGGAGAAATATACAATTATAATAACTGAGAAATAAAGAAGAATTAAAAAAAAAAGTAACATCAAAATAAATTATAACTGTCGACAAAAAAAAAAAAAATATATATATATATATATATATATACAATATGTCAAATACAAAGATTTCACTAGATATATTACAACATGAATTTCATTTTGTTAAGAAAAAGTGAACATTAAAATGGCCCTATTAAAATAGCCAATAAAGTTACAAACCTTAAAAATATATAAATATCACACAGAAATAGAGGACACAAAAATATCAATTTCATTGTTTTTCAATGCCGACATAAATATATGGTAAATAAAAAATGAATACTATTATCTTAATATATTAATAGTTGATAAATTAATGAGATTAAGAGCACAAAATTGTACATTAATCCCCTAACCCTAATAAATTTACAAATCAATGCAAGCGGGAAAATTTGATGTAACCATCTTAAATCTGCCAAAATAAGCAAGCCTTTTTAAAAATGATATGCTACTTGTAGAGAGGATTTGTTTACGGGGATTCTAATTGGATCAATATTTATATAAATAATTCGAATTCAAAACAAATCAGTGATAAGTTTTGTTTGCTTCTGGGCTGTCCATGAGGGATGTGGGATATACTTTAGATTATTATCTTTATTTTTGTATTTTATATTTTATTTATTTAAAATGTGAAAAGAGGGAATACTGTATAAGACCCGTTAGATTCATTTGAAGTGCAATAAATTAAAGGTGTCTCTAATTGAGTTGTTGTAGCGATATCTAATGTTTCAAACTGGTCCTTAACCATCTGTATGACTGGTATCCCTTTAAAACAATGTAACGTTTTTATCTTGCTTCGAAACTTTTTTCTAGTATGGTCTATTTCGCCTTAATTAATCACGAAGAGCTTATGTTTTGGTTTATAGGTTGGAGTTCTCGTGACAACAAATTTTATATAGAAGAAATCAGTTAGTATTTGATTTACTAACTAGATTAAATTAGATTTCTTTTATAAAGTGTGCACAAACAAATCATACAGTATTATAAATCAATATTACAGATTATCCTCCACGTGTGGTTCTGCCGAAAGGGATGCAGGTGAAGCTGGCTTT